GCGAATATCAGCACTGTTTCAGGCCTTGCGGAGGCCGGCCAATTAGGGCAGGAGCGGCCAATCACATGAATCAGCATTGGTATCGACTCCCATACTGCCAAGGTGCGGCGGTCTTCGGAAGCTTTCATGTCTTACTTTGAACTGTAGATTTGTTGAAAAGGCTGCAGGTTTTGTGGCGAGAACAGATTTTGCAGGGCAGGCAGGGTTGGAGCATGGATGCTCTGTTTAGCGGACGCACTCGTCAAGGGGCGCGGGAATGACCTGGACATGGACGCTCCGGCCAACAGACGCGCACCGGATTTGACATTCATCTCGTTCGGATCTTCCTCATTGTAAAAAACCCTGGGACCTGGGTTGCTGTTCAGGAACTCAAATCAAGTTACTATATTGGGGAAACTCTATTATTTACTACATATACCCATTATGGTAACTTAATTTAAGTTCCTTAACAGCAACCCGGAAAAAAACAGCAGCAGCCTCTTTAGGAAACTATACCCGCTTCAACCTAGCACCACACAAGCCATCCTTAGCCTAGCTGCCTTAGCCAAGCCTGCAACAGGGTGCAGTTCACATGATTTCCTACAGTATTTTGGAAATCTTCACACCTCTGCGGCGCATGATGGACAAACTGCCGGCAAACATTTCGGAGCACTGGCGATAGTTCTTGCGACTGCGCAAATACCTGCACATCAAACTGTAAGTAGGATTTTGGAAAACTTTTCGTTTTTTTTGGCCTGGAGTGTAGGGGGTAGCATTGTGGGGATGTCACACATCTTCATGGGGCTTAGGGTTTAGGGTTCGGAGCTTTGGGTTTAGGGTTTGATTCATGGTGGGCTGCCGAGGTTTTGTGTGTGTTGGAAAGCTGAATAACTTCCATCCGCAAGAAGATAACCACATCTGCGACACGCAGGTCTTATCATGTGAGAAAATACTTCTCCGGGGCTGATAGTGTTTGGGTATAGGGTTCATGCGCTTCGGGGGAGGATTCCATTCTACTTTTGACCGCGCACACCGCAAATCACAGGAACACTGTTGCTGAGGGTAGTGATGGTAGTGGAATGATCGAAACTGAAGACCCTATGGTAATACGGGCAAAGCCGTTTCCCTGCCCACCTCCTTCAATTTTTCTGCTGAGCCGAGTCCTAAGCCCAGTAGTTCAACCTCAGACCCAAACCCCCAGAGCGTAGGACCACCTCCTCGACACTGGCCACCAATCCCCCCGTTAGCACCGTCTCACAAGCCCCCTACCAATGGAAAAACACGGCTCCCTCCTCCCTCCAGGACCAAGGGTTTAGGGTTTTTGCCTAAACCCTTGCTCCCTCCAAAGGGTTTAGGGTTTAGGGTTAGGGTTAGGCGCCTCACCAAACAATCCAGGAAGACATGTGTTGTAAGGGTTCAACTGTTGTCCATGCTGAACCGAAGGGGAGTTTTGGCTGATGGCGTGAGATATCCTCACGTCTGATTCCTTCAAGCGCTGAACTTGCTGAAGTCTTCCATCCCCATGATGAGGTGACCTCCCAGGAAGCAAGCACAGTATGGTCTCTTGGGATCCATGGCCCGCGCATACCTCAAGAAGTAACTCCATAGCCATAGCAAGGTCGCCTCCTCCCAGCACTTGCTTGCGCGGCCTGCCTGAGCATGGCGACGCTCCACCTTGTCCCAAGTGGCCGCATCAGACTAGTCGAGGGGCTTCCTCAAAGGCAAGCAAGGTCCAACTCTCGAGAGCATTTTTCGCACAGTCGCGCTTCCAGAAATGATTCTCTGCACCAGCTGCATGGTATAAGTCTGAAAGCCCTGCCGGAAAACTGGGCATCCATGGGATCTCCGGCTTCCTGGCAGAACTCCTTCAGCGCAGAGTCCGGACGTCCTTCACAACTTCGGCGCCTCGTTGTCATCACACGCCAGATAACCCTTGCTCGTCTTCTTGCGGCCCTCATGTTCTTGCTTTGAGAGAAGGAGGAAGGGCCGGAAGCCGCGCCAGCTTTGCTGGCCACGCTGGCGCTTGCAGGTGGCTCTGAGCAGGCCTGCTCCTACACCGCCTCTGCCAGCCAAGTAAAGAAGAGGGTGAGCCATACGGCGCCAACAGTACTACAGGCAAAGTGGGCAAAACCGCGATCTCTCCTCCCGGCGCGGCTTACACTGCACAGAATCGGTCCGGAAAGGTTCACCAGCTCAGACTGCACTTCAGGATGGGTCTGAGTCGGAAGGTCAAGGCAACGCAGCTACACTGAGTCCCTAAGAAGAAGACCACAGCTTTAACGTGTAGGTAGAACCATGAAGACGGAGGGCGCTTGGCACCAAAGATCCAAAGTCCAAAGGTGTCAGCTTGGGGGATCGGAATGTCATGGCCAGGGCTGTTTGCCTGCGCTGTTAATCCCTAGCGACCCCTTAACTTATAGAGAAAGAGTCTCCGCATGCTGTTCCATGAGACATTAGATTTCCATTGCGGTGGCTTAACCAGGCAGCTGCCTGGAGCTTGCCTAGGCATCACACTGAAACCTTGCTGAGCCACAGGCTGTGCTCTGAATTGATGAACAAGATGCACCCGTGTGCGAAGTCAGAGCCTCGTTGCACAAAACACCAAAGCCAAGCACTTGCATGACATGCAGATTGCGCTAAGCTGGAGGCCCAGCTAGAACCACGAACCTGGGCTTCTTCAAGGTGTCCTCTGAAAGAGCCAGCTCTCCTCATCATGGCCAACGCTAGCAGCTAGCAGCCCCCGCAGGAACCCTAGGCAATACCTGTCGACGAGGAAGGAAACAGACTTCCCAAGGTCCGCAGAAGGTCAGTTTCCTTGCTCGTCAACAGGTGTTGCATCGACATTGATGTATTTGATGAGAAGGCTTTGCTTACTTTGTGGATCCTAGACCCTTGAACCCTAAACCCGAGGCGTCTTCAGGCCATGGAGTTTTCTGGACATGTGGCGAAGAGAAACCCTACCACACCTTGCTGAAACTCAAACTCTGCTCGCAATCCTAGTTCACGTGATTAGTCAGCTGAACCAAAGCCATCATGAGTGTGAGCTGAAAGCCGGGCGCAAACAGGCCTTGAACCAAACAAGGCTAACATCGAAGGCACCGCCTCTTGCTGCCATCCCACTTGTGCCCGCAACTGCTGATTTGCAGCAGCAGCAGGAGCAGGAGCAGGAGCAGGAGCAGGAGCAGGAGCAGGAGCAGCAGCAGCAGCAGCAGCAGCAGCAGCAGCAGCAGCAGCAACGGCGTACCCTTTTGGGCAATGATTGCCTGGTTAGCTCAAGTTCGTGAGTAAGGTTTCTCTTAAAGTACAAAGCCCGTAATTTTTACTGCTGTTGTAGCAGCTGGGCCACTGTTACAGCACATGCGTCCCTTGAATGGGATCATTGCCCTGGCTCTCTCAGAGAGTGGGCGAAACGTTGAAGTCTGCGCTTAAAACAGTCCAATGGACTCAAAGGGCGACCAAGAGAAGTTCGCCTGGAGCACTTGGCGACTCAGGGCAATCATGAACCCATTATCTCGTGTAGTTAGAGCGGGAAGAACACAGCAAAAGCTTCCGTCCTCCGTGGGATAGTAGGCAGAAGCTCCCATCTTCATACCCCTCCTGTGGCCAAGGCAACGCAAAAAGCTCTTCTCGTCGTCATGATGCTTTAGGGGGACTTGGGCAGCGGATTCCCATAACACCCCTGCAGCATAGTACCCCCCGAGGTAGTACATATATGGCAGTTTCCCAAAATAGGGGGACCCCAATATAGACCCCAAAGTACTACAATCCTTATTTTGGGGACCGGGACCCCCAAAGTGCTACCCCTAATTTGGGGAAACCCTCAAGCACCCCTAAACCCTAAACCCTCAACCCTTCACCTTCCCACTCCCCCTCTTCGATAAGTTGTGGGCTTTCACCGGCCTTTTGTGGAGAAGGCAGCAAAGGAGTGCCGAGCCTGAGGGTTTACTTGCATCTCCGTGTATTACCAACAGTAGTAATCGTAATAAGAAAATGATACTTGATAATTGATAATAGTAGTGACAATAAATACTTATGGCTACTATTCTTAGTGCGTGTTTTCACCCCAGGACTCCACAGCCATATGGCTGCTGGTGTCACGTGCCCAAGTTTGTGCAAGAAGCTGAGGCGCATCTTTGTTTAGATCATGAAAATGCAAAGGCGGTCGCGTGTTCTGGTCTCTCGCATCTTGCATACTCCTGTTCACGAAGACGCTCATCATGTAGGTTCATCTGGGAGTTTCTGAAGGGGCCAAAACTCCCCTTACAATACTCCCCTATATAACCCCTCTTTAGGGGGTTTAGACTATAGTAACTATAGTACATGTCTGCTCTTGTCTTGCTACGCACTTTTGGGCTCCGGCCATCCAAAGACTTCATTTTGGCGAGTCGGCCATCCGTCGATAGCATCGCAGACTTGGCACAGCTCTTTGCAACAAGTAAGGTGCAAGTAATATGGGACTTTGCTGGGAAAATGTGGTATGTAGGGACTGTTGGCTTTGCACCCCTGATTCATTCCACAACAACATTTCAAGCAACTCCCGTTTATTCTGGGAGTACATACAATGCCTCACCAAACAAACACGTGTCAGTTTCCCAGACTAAAGGGATTTCAATCTAGACCCCAAATTGCTACAATCCTTATCATGCGGACCCGCCGAACAGGTGCCCCTAATTTTGGTACACCCACTACTTGCGTCGAACATGCTAATCAAACCCTGCAGCAAGAAAGCCACCATGAAAAGAAACGTAAGAAAAGATAAGCACTACTCGTAGTAGTACTAGTAACAGTCGTAGTAGTAGAAGAAGAAGAAGTAGTAGTAGTAGTAGTAGTAATCGTAGTAATAGTAATAGTAAAAGAAAAAGGTAGTAATCATACACCAATCTTACTACTTATAACTACTACTACTATACTTGTACACAGGTTTCAATGACATGCGAATTCCTCGCGCCCCTCTTCTGGCAACACCCTACGCCGGAAGTCATCAGAAAACTTGCCATGCTTTGTCCAGGCTGCCGGCAAGGTCAAATTTCGAAGACTGACTTCACGGAGGTTAGAGTTGTTACCACGGGCTCGGAGTATAGATGAATCCTTGGGGAAATCCGAGGGGATGTTGGCGAAGTCACCGTCTGGAGTGATTGCAGCCTGTCGGGCTCGGAGTATAGATGAATCCGAGGGGAAATCCGAGGGGATGTTGGCGAAGTCACCGTCTGGAGTGATTGCAGCCTGTCGCATACCTTGGCAATTGAACCTGCCTGTGCCAGACCACTCGGGGTGAAGGACTGTGCATGACTGCCCCTTTGGGGCTTCAAAGTCACAGAACGCGGCGAAAACAAACGAGTCGGAGACTGAATTACCACAACACCGTTTGCGTGTTGACTGACTTGCACAGCAGGCTTTGCAAGAACTGGAGCTGGCTGTGCTTGATACAGCTCGCCCTGGGGTGGAAGCAGCTTGCGCCAAGTATCTGGTGCAGGGGACACTGCACCAGCTGTCCCAAAACGAGCTTGCCATGCCTCCCTCATGAGCTTCAGCCGTTCTTGAAAAGTGCTGAGGCCCCAAAGCGCGACTTCTACCGGAGGATTCCCGGCCTTTGATACACGAATGCATAAACTCGGCGCGCATGGCGCGCTCAAACTCGGTTCCCTCTCGTGGAGGGATGGGCTTGGGGCCAGCGTAAAGAGCTCGTAATTGAAACTCACTTGCGGTGTAAAGGCTCTGGACAGTGCTGTTGCCTCTTCGATCAGGCTACGTGCCAGCACTGCGCGCTTCAGGAAGTCATCCCTGGAGCCGTTGCCAGAAACAATTGGCGAAGGTGTACCTGAGATGATTTATTGGAGCAATAATGGGATAATATAAGGATTATATAGGGATTATATAGGGATATTATAAGGATAATGGAAAAGGAGCTGGAAACTACTAGTATATTGGGGTTATATTGGGGTAACATGCCCAAGTTGCGTCTGACCCCCTCCCATGGGAGTGCCATGGGGGCACTCACATCCATGTTGCCTGTCCATCAATGTACAGGTTATGAGTACAGCGCAAATTTGCCAGCAAATCAGGCCTCCAATGACATCCTCGATCGCTGTGCTGGCACCTCTGGTGTCAGCAACATGAGAGTCCAGGAATGCTCTCGGCTAATCGGTGCATTTGTTACTGCCCAGCACAGAATGTGGTAGATTCCATATCTTTTGGACGTCTCCAGTTTTGTGGATCCCTGATATACGGTTTGCCCAAAATTAGGGGTACCTTTTTGGGGAATCCCCAAAACAAGGATGATAGCATATTTGGGTCCATATTGAGGTCCCCATATTTTGGGAAACTACCATATGGGATTCTGGGTTTGGGGACAGCGGATGCACGGCCAAAACCACATGTTCTGCTCAGACCAGACAGTACTAGAGCCTCGGGTTTCTGGCTTCTGGCTGGCGCATATTTGTTGACAGTTGCATCTTCCGGGATGCATGAATCACCAAGTAAGCTATAGTCTAAACTCCTAGTATTCCCCTTAGTAACCCCAACCTATAGAAGCCCCTACATAACCCTCATTTGAGGAATTTAGACTATAACTCAATTGGGTCCCTTGCTCTGAGCTCGACTTTGCCCTTGGGACTGCTGTTCCAGGGCTGCAAAGATCGTCATCCTTGCTACTATGATTATGGTTGTCACGCCCAAAGCAAACTCTCCGCTCACCTTCCCATCTTCTCCCGTCTAATGAGCTATAGTCTAAACCCCTAATTTTCCCCTCACTTCCCTATATAATCCCCTATCTAAGCACCCCTTTAAGAAGTTTAGACTATAGCTCTAATGGTTTGAACCTCGGTGCATCCAAGGCGCAACCGTTTTCTCCCATGCCAAAAAGCAAGGCTTGGACAGCCGGATCAGGCTTGGTGAAGACGAAGAACCTTCAGAACTCACCCGTCTGGGTTGCTGTTAAGGAACTTAAATCAAGTTACCATAACGGGTATATATAGTAAATACTATCGTTTCCCCAATATAGTAACCCTAAACCCTAAACCCTATAGGGTTTCCCCCCAATATAGTAACTTAATTTCAGTTCCTTAACAGCAACCCAACCGTTGCTGCCCGCGCTCATGCTTTGATGACACCTCGTGTCCCCCCTTGGAAGGGAAAGTAATCTCGTTAGCTTCTCACTGATATAGTAGTTTCCATTTTCTTTTCCACTTATCCCTATATAACCCCTATAGAACCCTATAATCCCTATCTAGCCCCTATAACCCTAGATTTCTATTCTTCTCCGTCCCAACTTGTGGCTTGGCCCAACCTGAAAGTTTGGCCGAGCACGACAAGGTCCTGGTGCAACAGCTCCTTGGCTTCTGCTGGGGCCAGTCGGGCCCCGTTCACCTCGTTGGAGGGTGGCCCAGATGATTGCTACTTGGGGATTTCCCAAAATCAGGGTTATAATCCCCCTTAAGTAGATAGAATATGGCTTTGGGTATATTATACTAAGATCCCCATATACTACCCCATATTCTATCTACTTAAGGGGGACTATACCTTTTTAGGGGGACCAATAATAAGGAATATAGTATTTTGGGGCCTATATCGGGGTCCCCCTATTTTGGGAAGCTACCACTTGTATGCAGGAGCTCTACATATGAAGATCCGGTATGATCTATCAAAGACGTCACTGTATCAGCACGTACGTCCACTTCCTGAGATCCTTCACGCACTCCTGATGTTGGCCTGTAGAATTCAGGTCGCTACACATGCACACCCCCTAACAAAAAGCAAAAGGAGATTCTAAACATATGCTTCCCAAAAAAGGACCGCACATCCCGCCTCAACAGCTCCGGTTGGAGGTGGGCTGATCCCTTTCTGTGTGATGTAAAATCGACCTGACTCCTGCAGGGTTGTACAAGTTTCCAAGAGAGCCCAATACCCCTTAAGGAATATACCCTAAATGGTACTAGGGTCTATCTGGTTTAAGTATATTCCTTAATTAAGGGGTATTGGGCTCCCTGGGTTTTGGATTTAGGGCCAAAGTGGAGTCTTTAAAGTTGGAACACCAGTATACCCACGCACCAAAACCAAGGCGAACTTTAGCACATAGTCGCCCTTGAGTAGATAGAATATGGGGTATATGGGGATCTTATTGTAATATACCCGAAGCCATTTTGTATCTACTTTAGGGGGATGGCAATCTCCATTTGAAGTCTCGCCGCGCAACGTTCCTCCCCAGTACTCCTAAGCCTACTGTGGATGCAGGAAACCTTGCACCACCCAAATTACCCTATACTCTATATATATATGTATACATATATAGTATATATATATATCATGGTTAGTATTATTCCTCTTACTACTATTACTATCACCCATACTCTTACTATTACTATTACATTTGGGAATTTGAAGTGGTGCGAGCTTTCGATCCGCCATGTAAAACTCTTGACTAGGCACAAGTAGTGGCAGCTGCTAACCGATGCCCGTAGTCCCCTAAACCCTAAACCCTAAAGCCGTAGTCGATTCTGTCTACTGCACCTTTTATCTGTTCAGGACATCTACGCTGAACACTTGCCAGAATGCTTGTACCTGTCACTTCTCAGGGTGAGGCCCAATTGGGTCCTTCTTGTATCACAATAAACATAAGAGGAGTGGTTATTTTGGTGGTCGAACCTAGTAAGATAATATTCCTTATATAAAATACTATACCCAAAAGGAGGATATAATCTTACTCTATATTGGGTACCATAATGTCCCCAAATAAAATACTACTCACATAAGAGTCTACGCGAGTCGTAAGCCACAGAGACACACCCAAGTCCTGCCAAATGATGCACGTCTCAGGGCCTTGGCAACACAGAGTTGATATCCTGCCACAGAACTTCATGTGTACCCTGAGGGACGCAGGTGAAAACAAGGATCATACATAGGGGTCACTGAAGAGCAGGTACGGGTTCCTGCAATGAAAATAACCCCAATACATACCTTAATATAATCCCTATATACCCCTAAATAACCCCAACATACTATAGTAGTTTCCATTTTTTCCATTATCCCAAAATGCATGCCCTGACTTGATTGGGCCGTGAGGGTTTGCTACGCAGCTCCTCAGATCTGAAACTGACACAGACTCTTATTATCAGTGCTATTTTCTATTATATGTCTACTATTATGATTACTACTATTTCTATTATTGTATATTATTAATAAGGCCAATGCAGCAGAGCCACTCAGACCCGGTGTCCCTGGAAGCCGGAAATCGCAGTGAGGTGTACCTCATCTGGCATACAACCAGCAGCTGCAAGGCCTCAACCTGCAAAGTACTCCACATACTACGGTGGCCTAAATAATTACCAATATCATGCTGAGGTCAATTTGAGGTACCATGGACTATAATTATAAGGAATGTGGAACCATAATATTGGTAATCATTTAGGCCCCTGTATTACTGCCCCGTCCCAGAGAGCCAGTGCTTTGGACATTTGACGTTTTGCAGGTCTCGAACAAAGCATGGGAACCCTTGCAGGCAGGCTGCACCCCAGGATGTACTGGCGACCTCAACAGGCATGCATGCAGTTTCAGACTGGGACTGGCTAGGCAGGCTATGAAACACGAGTATGTTCTGTTGAATTCTGCGTTCTATAATGTAAGTTTAGGAGGATGTAGGCTGTACCGTGGCTATAACTTGAGTGTTCTCCTACCTAGGGCTGCAAAGGAGGGAACACTTTGCCCGTGAATCTCTGCAGGGCCTTCTTGCGCGGCGTGGAAGATGAGACGACCGCTGAAGCCCGGGTCTTTGGAATAGAGAATCAAGCCTGCAGTCAGAAAACTGGTCAGTGGCTTCGAGTTGTGCTAGGCTTCCCTGCATCAGGTCCTTTGAAATCTGATTCTGCATCTTGATAGGAGCACTCGGTGGAAGCTACTCTCTTCAAAAGGATTCAAGAAAGCAAGACTTCAAGACAACGCTGCGCAGGCAGCCGGAATCGCTTCGGCCTTTGAGTCAAACCCGTGTTGCATTCGTCTATTTGGCAAATCTCCCTGCTCACCACGAGTCTAAACCACATCACGAAAGACGGATACCGCCCACAAGGCCCAACAATTGAGCCATTGTCTAAACTCCTAGTATCCCCCTTAATATCCCTTATAGTAGTCCCCTATATAATTCCCTATATACCCCCCCTTTAAGGAGTTTAGACTATGGCTCAATTGGCTCTAAGGCTTCATGGCGAGAAAGCCAGCCAAGACACTTGGTGTTGGCGGCCGCCTTGCGACATCATACGGTGGGGGGGTTGACAAAAGTTTGGCTCTTTTTGCCTAGATATTGGGGCCGCTGTTCTGATTTATAACGAGGACCCAGAACGGGGCAGCGTTGGTGTAAATCTTGCATATCAGGCAAATGCAAAGGGTTTTTGAGCAATGCTCATGACTTTGTCTCCTATGTGCGAGCGAGATGCAGGGCGGGCTGCGTAGAACCTGAGCCAGGCGTGCATGCAACTCAGGCAATCTTCCAGTCCCCAATAAGTCTGACGTATATGCCACATGGCGTGCGCTTGCACTCATAGAGGACTCAACGAAACATGACAACTAACGAGCTGGCAAACTTTTTTTGCGCGAAGCAGGACAAGCATATGCTGAATGGCAACAGTTTGGAATCGCAACTCTCCATTTTGGCAGGCTTGGAGGCTGGCAGGATAAGAAGGCTGGAAATTTGAAGTGGTGGAGATTCCGTAGCCTTGCCCTTGTGAACCACGAAAATGCAAAAAATCCTGAGCCATGCCAAGAGGCTATCCTCAGGTGTCCACCACTGCAACGTGCTCGAAGAAGGAAGAGCCAAACTTTCCTGCACAGCCTTGGAACCACACCTGGGTGGCAGCAGCGTTTTTCCATACCCTTAAATTACTACCGTAACTATTTAAGTAGGTTTAGGTCCCAAAGAACAAGAGACGTGGAGACATATCCCAAATTAGCACCTAGACACGCTTGCGTGGAGTCCTTTGAGCCAAGCCTGTGATTAGCCGCAATGATTTGAGAACCTCCCTGGGCTTGCTGCAATGACGGATGCTGGCCACTTGTACGAGATGATTCCTCACGAAGCTCGTTCTTAACAGTGGCCTTAGCATATCTCCACCGGGAAATGGCAAGATTTTGCAATGCATCATCCTTCTGCCTCTGGAGAAGTTCGGCATTCTTCTGCGCTTCTTCCCACCTAGCCTTGTAGCTTTCCATCATGTTGCGAATGATGCCCACTTGGGACTGCAAGTCTTGACCATTTCGAGGGGTGGCGTTGCTGAGTTGTGCCTTTAAGCTTTGCAACTCTTCACTCAAGCTTTGGATCAGGGAGTCCTTGTCCATCTTGGCAACGCGCTTGGCCATCACTTTGATGCTTTTCACTGTGCTGGCAAAGTTCAGGGTGACCAAACTCTCATCCAAATTTACCAATGCTGGGCTCACGGTTGCTAATAAGCTAGTCTTGGAGTTGCCGGTCAAAGCGTTGATGAGCAGCAGAGTCAGCTTAGAGTTCCGGAATCTGGAGCGGGTAGATCCTGCAAGCCCCTCTGAGGTGCTTCGCTTCCGCTGCCGACCGAGGCCCTGAATGCACTGGGCGAGCCACATCAAACTGCGATTGATGAATGTAAGCTCGATGAAGTTGTCGCCCGTTACCTTTGTGGTCTTCTCATTCTCTCTGCCGGCCAGGTCCACACAGAAAAGCTCCGAAGACACAACTGTGTGGTCTTCTTCGTGTTTTTCCATGAGAAGTCGGAAGATGACATGCCCACGCGAACCTGGGTTGCTGTTAAGGAAGTTCAATTTAGTCACCACAATGGGTACCTATAGCAATTAATAGGGTTTCCCCGATATAGTGACTGAAACTAAGCTCCTTAACAGCAACCCAGGAACTCTTAGGATTCCTGCCTGTTGCTGCAACACTTGCCCTAGACAAGCCATTGTCCAGAAGTGATTGAAGCTGCTCCAAGTTATCAACCTGCGCATCAATCGCTCCATCAACATACACACCCACCCGCGGATGAACATGAATTTCGGGAGGTTTGGCTGTCTCCTTTTCGTTCAGCAGATCGCGCAGCTTCTCATTGTACACCTCCAGAATCTGTGCGCGGCAGTGCACCTGCAGTTTCTCAGCCTAAGGTACCCAGACAGATCCTGGACTCTAAAAGGAAAGCAGGAACACTGGGGGGATGTTTGCACATTCCCGCCTGGCCCAAACCAAGTGACTCAACCTGGCTGAGCAAGTCACGTAGAAGCCGAGGCAGCAGTCCCTGCTCGGCCTCGTTCTTCTTGCCCATGAAAGAAAATGTCTTCCCGCTGCCAGTCTGCCCGTAACAAAACAAACATGCGTGATATCCCGCAATAGAATGCTGCACCATTCTGCGGCCAATCATGTCGTAGCACTTCTCTTGGGATACATAGTTTGGCTTGGACGAATCCGTGCTGTCCATCACACAATCGAACGCAAAGTCCTTCTTCTTTTTGTCCTGGGCACGGACGGAGATGACATTCCTGGAAGCTGAAAAGCACTGCTGACGCGCTTCGTAGCTGAGGAATGGCCGTAGCCTCACACCCACGAAAACCTGGGTTGCTGTTAAGGAACTTAAAATTAAGTTACCATAATGGGTATATATAGTAAATAATAGGGTTTCCCCAATATAGTAACTTAAATTAAGTTCCTTAACAGCAGCCCAGAAACGGTCTCATCCGTCTTCTCGGTGTTCGCCATGGTCCAAGTATCAATCAGCAGGCTCTCTCGCACTGCCGAGGAGAGGAGTCCATGCTCAAACCAAGTGGGAGCTGAGTTGATCTGTGTTGGACGTGATATGATATGAGGTATCTGTTATGCGCAGCTGGCGCCAACAAGACAAATTTGATGTACACACACATCCAGTTTTCCTAGTTATGTAGCACATGACGTAACAAATCAACAGGCAAGTCTTCGCTCGGGCCAGGAAACCCAACATGCTTGCAATTCTCATAAGCCTTTACAGCATAGGTGAAAGCAAATGACAATGCGCCCTTGATGTTACTATTATGATTACTAGTATTATTACTATTAGTATTACATTAGTATTACTACTATTATGCCTATTAGTATTTTTATAAATATTCCTATGAATATTGCTACTATTATGACTATTATTAATACTACTATAAATATTACTATTAATATTGCTACCATTATGACTATTATTGTTACTACTATAAATATTACTATTAATATGGCAACTATTATGACTATTATTGTTATTTCTATAAATATTACTACTAATATTGCTACTATTATGACCATTATTATTACTACTATTATTGATCTTCGGTCCCCCCCACTTCATCCTCGAGCTCTCAAGCTGCAATGCAAGTCGCCTGAGCGTTGTGCCTTCTTTGGCATTTCATTTTGGCAGCAATGTGGGAGTTTCCCCAAATTAGGGGTACCTTTTTTGGGGGTCCTCACAATAAGGATTAGAGTATATTAGGGTCTATATTGGGGTCCCCCTATTTTGGGAGACTACCATGCGTCGCAAGTGTAAGTATCCGAATCAGCTTGTGGATTCAGATGATAAAGGGTGCATCTGCCTAAATGTAGAGAGCACCTAGATTGCGTAGACAGCTTTCGCACCTAGGAATGACATACGTGTGGACTTTAGAGGGCAGGGGGATATGCTGCGAGGAACTACATACACGGGACAATCCAGCGGCTAATCTACTAATCATCAGTCTGGCCCCGATGGTCTCGCAAGGCTTGGCGATGGAGACGCTGCAAATATGCCATGCTGACAGAAATCATTTCCTGACAAGTGGTTTGGAGATTTCTAACCACGATACCTGTGAAATTTTAGCAGGACCTATACTATAACTCCCTGCAACCCACAAACATTCCAATCGCCCATGGGGTCATCCCATTTAGAGAAACAAGCACTTGTTCACAGCAAGCAACTTTTCCTAAGGAAGCTCTTTCGTTGCTGGAGAACAATAGATCATGGCTTATTCTGGCTTTTAAATTTCATGTGATGAGTAGGCTCAAGAGCGGAGACCCCCCATACGAGTACCGTGTATGGAAATTGCATTTCCTAGACACCACCGTTCCGATTGCTCCGTAGCTAAAGCTCTCCCTCAAGCCGAACCCGAAACCCTCAAGCCCCAACCCCTAGATATCCCCGTATAAGCCCTATATAACCTCTATGTACCCTGTAGAATCCCTATATCCCCCTTTAAAGGCCGACTCCTTGTCTTCGTGCCGTTGCTTTGGCATTGGCGGAAAAAGAGCATCCTCAGCCTGCAGATCTTCCTCCGTGTGCCTTCAGGCTTAGGGTTTAGGGTTTGGGGTTGAGGGTCTGGGAGGATTCCCAGGTACTGCAACTCAAAGGTTATAGGGGCTATATAGGGATTATCGGGATTATATAGGAGTTAAGTAGGGCTTTTATTTGCTAGCGGTTAGTAAAGAATAAGGGAATATGTATTATATGATTGTGTAGGTCTTATATTCCTGATTCCCTACGGACAACCAGTACTGCAAGTAGTTACATACCCCCGTCGCTACGCTGTTTCAGCCACTACTGATATCTTGCACACCCCGGTCTGGTACTCCGTGGCCAAACAAGACGGCGGTTGCAAATGGATCGCGTAGAGACTGGGGGAGCTTCTCGAAAACAATGCCAATTAATCCCTAGTACAGACCACCCATAGTCCCCACATTATCCAGATACTCCTTGGGGTTGTAAGCGCCCCCCTATTTGAGAAACTCGCATGTAATCAGGAAGCGTTTTCAAATAACAATCGTTCGAGGCTTGGGGAAACCTTCAAATATCAAATGGTCACAACGTACAATAGAAAATTCAATGTTGGGGGAGTGGTGGCTTTCTTGTTAATGACTTCCACCTCTTACGACGCGCACAAAACAAACATACTCAGGAAAGCCCCAGGTGCGGGTTGTGCCATGAGGGGAGCTTTGTACGGAACTCTTCAATGAAGATGCGCTCTGCATCGTTGCCTGGAATTATTTCGGGAGGTGATGCGGCCTGCTGCCACTGCACCTCAAGATCGCCGAGGCTGAACACATGCACCCCCAGCACAAAACCTGGCTTGCACTGCGGGTGGTACTTGATGTTGACTGTCCATTCGCTGCCGCTGAGCTCATACTCATAGTGCACAGTCGGAGACAGAAATACTCTTTTGCCATCCTTTGTTGGGCATACTGCAGGCTCGACTTCTACTTTGCCATTGGCTGGCATGGCCTCCAACATCATATAGGCTGGCGATTCTTCCTCTGCGCATGTCGTCACCAAAATCTTCACCTGAATCTCCCTAGAACCCTTCTTAAAGCTAGCTTCAGCCGCTTAAAGCGGGTCTGTACTGAGCAGCTACTAAAACCCATGTTCAGTACACCCTAGTCACTGGATGCGCCATTGGCTTCTCAGAGTTCTCGGGCTCCGTCAAGGCATCCTTCTGTCGTAGTCGAAGAGTCGTAGGCGTCATCTCCTGTACCCGAAGCACATATAGGGATCATGGAACTGAGAATGGAAACTACTATAGAGGTTATATAGAAACTACTAGAGGGGTTTTATAGAAACTGCTATAAGGGGTTTTTAGAGATACTACTATAGGGGTTGTATAGGGTTATATCGGGATGATGGAAAAGAAAATGGAAACTACTGAGCGTCATCTCCTGTACCCGAAGCAGCGGCGTGGATGCCACGTGCCACTCATTGCTGCAGCAGATAGGTTGCATCTCCAACTCTGAATCAGAAAGAACAAGCAGCCGAAATGAATGGAATTCCGCCTTGTCCTTTGCCATTGGTAGAATCGGTAAACTTTAAAAGGGTAAACTCCTCTGCAAGACCAAAAAAACATCAGAATCAGCAAAATGTGATCTTCTCGAGAAGGATGGTCCCTGGTATAAACACGAAGCGCTCCTAATGCGAAGGCCCCAATATCAGCTATAGTTTAAACTTCTAGGATCACCCTTAATATGCCCTAGAATACCCCCTATTTAGTCCCCTATACCCTTGAAGGAGCTGAGTTTAGACTATTGCTGATAGGCTATACATACCTTTAGAAGCACTACCTCTAGCCAAAAATCTCGTGCACCTATGCAATTTGTGCTACCATTGTTTTCCTGTATAACACTTCTTGAAAACTCCCGTGCGTTCTAGAAAGATCGAGTTGCTATCCGTTGATGCGCCTGACCCCAACACCTGCCGGCTAGGCCACCAAAACTCACGGTCTAGCAGTCAGGGCTTGGTCGAGGATTTGGGTCCGGCCCTAAACCTCAACCCAAGCGCTCGCTATCGCTGCAGAATTCCAAATTACTGAGTTGTTAGAAAAAGATTAGCCTGCCTGTTGCCTCAGGTGACTTTGCACACAGGCGTACAGATACAGACGGGTATGTTGCGTGAACATGCTAACGTCCGGAAGGGAAAAGGCTAGCTACTTGCTTAGTTATTCATATTAGTGTTATTCTTGTTATTAGTATTCTTGCTATTCTTCTTGTTACAACTCATTTATTTGTATTGTTGTTGTTATTGCCAGCCTGCCCACCACCAGATTGTGTGTGCTGCATGGTGGAAGCTGCGCGCCGAGCGCCACCCACTCCTAAGCGCTGGAGGGTGACTTGTAAGAAGATGCCACAAATTAACCGAATGCTTTTGGTGAAGGGTGAAGAAGGAATCACACACACACATATATGAGTTTGCCCCACTTCCAAGCTAGTTTCTACAGCTCATGCAGACCCATCAAAAAAAGCGTGTGGCAGCACATACTTCTTGCCCATGGTGTCTCAAACAGCCCAAGACTCATTGGACGCCTTCCGATTCTTGGCCACAGCTGACCCTCCACCCACGTAGCGTTGAATTGGGTGTCTGCCAGTCTCGAAAAGCTGTAGGTCAAGCAGTGGGAATGAATCATCCGGGCAGGATGCATCCAGATTCTCTTCATCCTCCTGCAAGCACATCCGAGCCGAAGCTAGAACCGCTATCGCCCTACGCATTGTATGATATTGTATGTATCATTCCTGTTGCTCGTGCCATTCTTGTTGCTGCTATGCTGGTTTTCATTTGCCGGTCTTTGCCGTCCTCCTCGTGCCAGGAGTGCTTCTTCAGGTGGCGGGTGTCCTTCGCGCTGAAGGAGAGAATGAAACCTTAGGTGTCCAAGGTTCATCCCTTGGTTTATGTCGGGCTTTCGATATTGCCAAGAAGATGGAGATTATCCCTCAAGTCAAAACCTTAAGCCCGAAACCCAAGCCCTTTGGACAGGTAAGCAACATACACTGGCTGGAGAGGTGCCAGCGTTTGCCACCATCAGCTGAGGACATACTTGCCTTGCTGGCCGGCTTTCTTCGCAGCAAAGTTACTACAAACCCCATTCTTACTGGGAGTTAGTAGGGAATAAGGCAAATACTATATAGGGATTGTACAGGGATTATATTCCCGTATTTCCTCCCCACAACCAGTAAGTAGTACCTAATTGAGGGGGCATAAGACCTAAATGAGATGGACAGCCCCGAGGCTACAAGGAGTCGCATTAAGTAACATCATCGCGGAACAGGGACGCAGCGTCCAGATGAGAGCTGAGGAAAAACAACCCATGGAGACTTGCCCGACACCCCGGCAAAAAAACATCTTTCAACTACTCGTAGCCCTTAAAGAAGCAAACAGAAGCTACAGGTCCTAAGACCCATATGATTTATAGTCGTTTCCACTTTTCCATTACCCAATATAACCCAATATTATACCCCCATATAATCCGTATGTAATCCCTAAGTAGTAGTTTCCATTGTATTTTCCATTATCCCAATATAACCCCAACATAAGATTTGCAGTCAAGTTGCTGGAGTTGGGTCATGGACTGCGCAGATGGTGGTATTGGGCTGCGCCATTTGCCGAGGAAGCTGCGCCTTTGCCAACCTTCTATGGACAAAGGCACAAGCTCCAACTGAGCATCAGCACAAACGCCTGGGTTGCTGTTAAGGAACTGAATTTAAGTTACTACATTGGGGAAACCCTATTATTTACTACAACTACCCATTATGGTAACCCTAAACCCTATATACCCATTATGGTAACTTAATTCAAGTTCCTTAACAGCAACCCAGACGCTTACCACATAGCGCTTCTCCTGCAGAGCTGTGCCCATGGACAGCATGAGGATCTGAATGTCCTGTCAAGGGTTATTAGGAGGGACCCCTAGAAGGGACCCCTAATCCCAATACCTTATATAACCCTTATATAGGCCTTGTATACCCCTTATATAACCAGGTAGTGCCCCTACTACCCCCAATATGCTACAAGGGTCCCCATTAAGGGTCCCTCCTAAAGCCCCTAGATCCTCCGTGTCCATCTCATCTACATACTGAGCGGTCACATCTTCCGACATGAACGGGGCTGTGCTTTGCAAACCTGGAGGGTTTTGGGGCCTTTTCGTTTAGGAGTTGGGGATTTCGTGGTGTCCGCTGCCCCTCAGACAGTCAAGGAACATTGAGGGACCCTGGCCCTAATTGTAACAGATAATGTGGAAGGGGCTGGTTGTTTTCTCGTCTCATTCCCTCCACTTCGTTATCTACCTACGCTATGCTCAATCCCCCTGCGAAGCGCTACTGATCATTTAGGTTTCCAGATCTCCGTTGAACATGCAAGCTCTACCATCATCATTGCCCATTCCACCCCTGTAAGCCCTACGAATGGCAGCCCTCCCTTCACGCTGCCGCAACTACCTACCTATGCCGCTATTCCGCCCTGGGCAGTCATTTGCGAAACACTTAGTGTTATCTATAGTAGAAATCATAAGATGATAAGAGATTATAGGTTATAAGCTGCCAATAACTTGAGTTTCCCCTACCTAGACGTAGCCCACCTTGCCAGAAGAGAGGTGAATTAAATCCTCGAGCTGCCAGATCCTCCAGGAATACGGCTTGGTCCTGACTGATCTGGCTATGCTTTCACAACTAGGGACCGTTATGCACCAGCAACAACATGAAGCTCTGGTTCAGGGACCCCTACAGGGACATCTTTGCGAGCTCAAATTCAGAGTTTTGAGGTCAGAGTTTTCGGTGCGGGTCTTGTATGTGCGTGTGCGCGTGCAGGATTTTTGACCGTTTGGAACTGAGGAGGGGTTACAGTCTATGGCTTAAGGTCTTCGAAGAGTAAGAACTGTTGTAAAGCCTGCCCAGAAATGGGGGTTTCCCAAAATTAGGGGCACCCTTTTGGGGGACCCAATAATAAGGATTATAGTATTTTGGGGTCTATATTTGGGTCCCCCTATTTTGGGAAACTACCAAATGTCCTTGTCTTCTTGGCCTTGCGCAGACTGGGCTCGCTTCACAGTCCTTACTTTCTCTCACACACACAGAAAAACATTGATTTTCTTGTTTCCCTCCAAGAATCAACAGACAGAATGATTAAATTGCACTTTGCAGAGGGGAAAGTTATGCTGCGCAATGCAAAATAAATACTGGAGAAGAGCAGGAATCATGATTCTGGAGACGTGGTAGAGGCTGCGATGTGGACTCCCTTGCTCACGACGCGCCTCTGAGTCTGGATCCACCACCTCAACGCTCACTGGAAAAGAAAATGGCAGCTACTATAGTATAATAGGGTATATATATGAATATATATGTATATGCACACATATATATATATAGGGGCTGGGATAATGGAAATAAAATGAAAGCTACTATTGATTTTTCTTTCAGAAAATTCGGACCTACTCTTTGGTGTTCAAGTGCATTGTAGGTTTTGGGGGGGACATAGAGGAGAACCTTAGCACGAACCTTGATTTTTTTCAAAGCTCCATGTAGCATTCAGTGTCAAGCCTGACACGCATCAAAGTTGAACTCGCCTGCGAATATGATGTCTACGCATTGGGTACTGCCCCCCCCAGTAA